GAATTGTGAGTACATGGAAGGTGGGGGGAACAACTAGAGCTCACCCATCAAGGCTCAAGAGCCCTTTAGCCACCCTACCTTGGAAAGAGAGAACAGGGAGATAGAGAAAAAGAAAAAGAAAGAGGGAACCAGCCAGGCCAAACACAATCGGACTTGAACACAATAGAAATATAGAGAAGAGAAGAAAAGAGAAGAGAAGAGGGAGATAGAGAAAAAGAGAAAGAGAGAGGGAACCACTCAGGCCAAACAAAATCGGACTTCAACCCAACATAAATATTCCATCTGGAATTCTGCAAGCATCTCCTCCAAGTCTATTGGTGCATCTCCAACAGTACTCGTCGGTCTGAGCTGGGCAGATTTCCCTTACTGCTTGCAGTACAGTACAGGGTGCTATCATACCTGGACCACCTACAAAACAGAAGTCCCAACCCATACCACCATAAAGCCAACAAAGACCAACAAGAACCAGTCCAAACCATGGGGCCTGTAGCTACTCCTCAGCATCTTGTCCATCCCAAACTCCCAACAATGAGGTCTGACAAATCTCAAATAAAAGACATAATGAATGATTTCAAAGAAAAATATCTACTGAGCTGATGTGCACTGCACCTGCAGAAACTGTTCATCTTTGGGACAAACCAAAAACAGCCATCAATGTTGGTGAAGGATTGCGGTTTCAGACCAAACACCAGACAAAGATAGAATTGGGAACCATTACAATTTCTAAAAAAAATACTTATTTCTGTCCATCAGCCCACTAGCATATCTGGGAACTTGCTGGATTTCATCCAGAGAAGCTACACCTACATTATTGGCTCTCTGGCCACCAGGGTCCATTCTCCTGCTGCCTGCTGACTTGTAGGAGTGACCTCCTTCCCAGTATTGGCCTCTGTTGGGGTGTAAGGGCCAATTGCCTTTCTTACTTTTCCCCTTGTCATGTGATATGTCACATGTCTTGAGATGGGAAGAAGAAGAAAGGGGGTCTGAATTGGTATTTTTAAACAATGTCCTACCCTTCAAAACTATGTCACACTCATAGAGAATTTCCAACCTAATCTGAAAAAATAGAACCCTTTTTTTGACTTGTCCTACTGTGTTCTGAATCCAAATCCTCAAATGTATCCATCCATGCCTTGATGGGGTACCTGGTCTCCCCCTCCCTCTTCAGGTTTCTTTACTATCAAGTCTCCAGGATTGAACGCTACCCTCAGCTTCACTCACATTTGTGTATGAACTTCTGTTCCAAGCCAAATAAGATGTCCTCTAACCACCCTCGGGAAGCCCAATAGGTGATACTCTTCAACCATGCCTCATCCTTCAAAAAGCTTACCTATACTAATAGTGGGTGTCCAACGTGATTTAAAAATTAAAATGGAACCCTTGATATGGATGTTCCCCATTGTAAACACATTCTGGGTACAAATCCTCAAATTTATCAACGACTTGATACAGTGCCTGCTCCCCCTCAGCCCTCAGGTACAGTGTACTAGGAATTCTCTAGAACTTAACGCTGACCTGAACTTCACTCATATTACTGTATGAAATTCTTTTCCTGGCAAGAAAAGTGGTGCTCCAACAACCCCTGGGCAGCCCAAGTTGTGAAGCTCTCAAACAATGTCATACCCTTAAGAATAGATCAGTTACACTCCTAGTGGATGTCCTAACTAATTTGAAAAAAAAAAAAAAAATGGAATCCTTGATATGGATTTGCACCATTGTAAACACATTCTATGTCCAAATCCTCAAACTTATCAATGACTTGATGGGATGCCCAGTCCTCCTCAACCCTCAGGTTCGTGTAGGAGGAATTCTCTAGAACTTAACGCTGGCCTAAACCTCACTCATAATCCTGTAGGAAGTTCTCTTACAAGCAAAAAAAGTGATGTCCCCTCATCCTGGATAGCCCATTGAGCGAAGCTTCTAAATAATGCCTTACCCTTCAAAAAGCTAGTTTGCACCCATGGAAGGCATTTGATCTGAAAAAATTGGAACCCTTGATGTGGACTTTGTCCATTGTAAACACGTTCTCTGTCAAAATCCTCAAATTATCTATAACTTGATGAGGTTCCCAGCCCCCCTTATCCCTCATATTTACGTATTGGGAATTGACACTATCTTCAGCTTCACCCATGTCACTGCATGAATTTCTGTTCCAGTCCAGATAAGTGGTGGTCCTTAATTGGCTGTCCCCCAACCAACTTTTTGGCCCACCTGATGCTCTTAAACCATGCCTTTTCCTTCAAAAATGTAATTTACACTTAGAGAATGTCCAACCCTATTTGAAAGATGAATTGGAACCCTTGAGGTGGACCTGTCCCATTGTGTTCGGGATCCAAATCGTCAAATTTATCCATGGTCCCCCCTCACCCCATAGGAGTCTATACTGGGAATTCTCCGGGACTTAACACTACCCTCAGCTTCACTCACATTTACCTTGATCCATGCCAGAAATATGGATGTCTACCAACCATCCCTGGGCTGAAGCTCCTAAATAATGCCATACCCTTAAAAAAGTTAATTTACAATCATACAGGACATCCAGCCTGCTTTGAAAAAAACTGGAACCCTTGGCTGACCCAAACTCTTGTAGCTGGTTGTGCTGCTGACTGCATGTGCCTCTCTAGTTTTGTTTTCCTCTCCCCATTGTCATTGTGCTACAGCAGCTGCCTCTCACCCTTAGCTTCCCTGCTGCGTGAGCAGAGCAGGTTCTCTGTGAAATGAGCCAATCAAAGAGCTGGAAAGCTTCAGCCAGAATCAGAGAGGGACTTGCTGTGCAGCAATGGATCATTGGATATGTAGTCCTTAAAAGGAAACTGCCCAATACAAGTGAATGCAGACTAATGGCTGCAGAACTACAGGCATACAACTTCCTGCATACAGAGGAGGACAGATATAATATTTTTCTGGGCAGAATTAGCTGAGCTGAGGTAGACCAGTATGGGGACTGAACAGATGTAAAGCTGTGCTGGGGTCTCTGCCTGGCAACTGTGAGCACAGAGCCCGCGAGGACTAGAAAGAGAGACTGAGCCACATAGAGAGCTGCTGTGCCTTGAGACCCATGCTGGGAATACTGGTTGCAATGTGCCACCACCTCATAGTTACATAGTTAGTCTGGCTGAAAAAAGACAAAAGTCCATCCAGTTCAACCATAGGAAAAAAAAAAAGTTATAATCCTACACCCCACAGTTAATCCAGAGGAACGCCAAAAAACCCAGCAAAGCACGATCCAATTTGCTCTTGCTGGGAAAACACGTCCTTCCTGATCCCCCAAGAGGCAATCGGATATTCCCTGGATTACCTTCACCTATAAATGTTATATCCAGTTATATTCTGTGTATCCAAGAAAGAATCCAGGACTTTCCTCCAGCAATCCCTGAGCTGGCCACAACCAACTCTGGAGGGAGTCTATTCCACATTCTCACAGCTCTTACTGTGAAGAAACCTTTCCGTGTTTGGAGATTACATTTCTTTTCCTCCAGACATAAAGAGCGCCCCCTTGTCCTCTGTGATGACCTCAGGGGGAATAACTACACCGAGTTCACTATATGAACCACTGATGTATTATACATGGAGATCATATCCCCCCTTATGTATTATACATGGAGATCATATCCCCCCTTATGTATTATACATGGAGATCATATCCCCCCTTATGTATTATACATGGAGATCATATCCCCCTTATGTATTATACATGGAGATCATATCCCCCCTTATGTATTATACATGGAGATCATATCCCCCTTATGTATTATACATGGAGATCATATCCCCCCCTTATGTATTATACATGGAGATCATATCCCCCCTTATGTATTATACATGGTGATCATATCCCCCCTTATGTATTATACATGGAGATCATATCCCCCCCTTATGTATTATACATGGAGATCATATCCCCCCTTATGTATTATACATGGTGATCATATCCCCCTTATGTATTATACATGGAGATCATATCCCCCCCCCCTTATGTATTATACATGGAGATCATATCCCCCCTTATGTATTATACATGGAGATCATATCCCCCCCTTATGTATTATACATGGAGATCATATCCCCCCTTATGTATTATACATGGAGATCATATCCCCCTTATGTATTATACATGGAGATCATATCCCCCCTTATGTATTATACATGGAGATCATATCCCCCCCTTATGTATTATACATGGAGATCATATCCCCCCCTTATGTATTATACATGGAGATCATACCCCCTTATGTATTATACATGGTGATCATATCCCCCTTATGTATTATACATGGAGATCATATCCCCCCCTTATGTATTATACATGGAGATCATATCCCCCTTATGTATTATACATGGAGATCATATCCCCCCCTTATGTATTATACATGGAGATCATATCCCCCTTATGTATTATACATGGAGATCATATCCCCCCCTTATGTATTATACATGGAGATCATATCCCCCCTTATGTATTATACATGGAGATCATATCCCCCTTATGTATTATACCTAGAGATCATATCCCCCCTTATGTATTATACATGGAGATCATATCCCCCCTTATGTATTATACATGGAGATCATATCCCCCTTATGTATTATACATGGAGATCATATCCCCCCTTAATCTCCTCTTCTCAGTATAGAATACATTCAGTTCCTCTAATCTTTCCTCATAGCTGATCTCCTCATGCCTCCTATCAGGTTGGTTGCCCTTCTCTCTCCAGTTCCCCAATGTTCTTTTAGTGAATTGGAGCCCAAAACTGAACTGCATATTCCAGATGAGGTCTTACTAATGATTTGCACCGGGGGGGAGGGGAGGGGGGGGTGATATCTCTTTCTCTGGTATCTATACCTCTCCTAATACAAGAGAGGATTTTGCTCGCTTTAGAACCACTACTCTCTGAATACGATCTTTTAGCCAGTTTTCTATCCATTTACATTCAGATTTCTCCAAGCCTGTAGACTTTACCACCCCTCTGTCCAAGTATGCCACATCCACAGCCATCCCTCTGTCCAAGTATACCACGTCCACAGCCCCCCCTCTGTCCAAATATACCACATCCACCGCCACCCCTCTCTCCAAGTATGCCACATCCACAGCCATCCCTCTGTTCAAGTATACCACATCCACCACCACCCCTCTGTCCAAGTATACCACGTCCACAGCCCCCCCTCTGTCCAAATATCCACATCCACCGCCTACCCTCTGTCCAAGTATACCACATGCACCGTCACCCCTCTGTCCAAGTATACCACATCCACCGCCTACCCTCTGTCCAAGTATACCACATGCACCGTCACCCCTCTGTCCAAGTATACCACATCCACCACCACCCCTCTGTCCAAGTATACCACATCCACCGCCTACCCTCTGTCCAAGTATACCACATGCACCGTCACCCCTCTGTCCAAGTATACCACATCCGCCACCACCCCTCTGTCCAAGTATACCACATCCACCGCCATCCCTCTGTCCAAGTATACCACATCCACCGCCACCCCTCTGTTCAAATATACCACATCCACCACCACCCCTCTGTCCAAGTATACCACGTTCACCACCACCCTTCTGTCCAAGTATACCACGTCCACCGCCACCCTTCTGTCCAAGTATACCACGTCCACAGCCACCCCTCTGTCCAAGTATACCACATCCACAGCCACCCCTCTGTCCAAGTATATCACGTCCACCGCCACCCCTCTGTCCAAGTATATCACGTCCACCGCCACCCCTCTGTCCAAGTATACCACATCCACCCCCACCCCTCTGTCCAAGTATACCACATCCACAGCCACCCCTCTGTCCAAGTATATCACATCCCACCCCACCCCTCTGTCCAAGTATACCACATCCACAGCCACCCCTCTGTCCAAGTATACCACGTCCACTGCCACCCCTCTGTCCAAGGTTTTGCTCACCTCCTCATAAAAAGAAATCAGATTTGTTTGACAACTTCCATCTTTCATGAATCCATGCTGTCCGTGGCTTACAATATTTGTTTCCAGCAAGAACTCCTCTCTGTGGACTTTTATTAAACTCTCCAGTATCTTCCCAACTATAGAAGTTACACTAACAGGTCTGTAATTACTTGAGAAAGATTTTGATCCCTTTTTAAATATTGGCCCCGCATTGGCCTTACACCAATCCAGTGGTACTATGCCAGTCATTAAAGAGTCCCTAAAATGAGAAACAATGGCTGTGAGATGACAGAGCTGAATTCTGTAAGGCCCCGTGGGTGTCTGCCATCCGGTCCACAGGCTTTATTCACCTTTATTCTGTCTAAATATTTCTGGATCATATCAATTGTGAGCCAATGTGGATCATCTGGAGCTGTGTCAGTACCACCCCCCATTATGGACAAGAGCCCCCCTATGCTCCTTTGTATACACAGAGCTGAAGAAGGGATTTCATACATTGTCCTTCTCTTTGTCCCCAGTCACCCCCTCTAGATGGTTCTGTAAAGGGCCTACATGCTGGGACCGGACCTTTCTACTATTCATATATTGGAGGAATGTTTTGGGGTCGGTCCTGCTATCTTTTGCAATCTGTCGTTCGTTTTCAATTTTTGCGCCTTTATTTCCTTTTTGCATATTCTGTTCTATTCTTTGTAATGTGTAAACGATGATCGCGTTCCTTCATTTCTATATTTAATAAAAGCTCTTTTCTTATTATCTATAGCTTTTGTAACTTTGGCCGTAAGCCACATAGGTTTGGATCCTCAGCGAGGATCTGACCATGACGGGCCAATTGTGCAGACTGAGACTTCTTGGAGAATTGGTTGCTAAGTGGGCTGAACCTAATCTCTTGCATACCAGGAGTGGTGAGTGGAACTCTCAAGCTTAACCCCTTGTTGCCCACAGTTAATGCTTACTGAGATTGCTCCTTATTTATCAGCTCATTACCCATCCTTTGTGTACAGTCTTAAAGAGACAGTTACATGTGCACCACCAACAGAAGGGCCCCATTGAAAGCCAGTCAATACTGACAATTGGGTGTCAGGTACTTTACAGTCCCCTTTAGGATGGGGCCAACTCAATATTGAACCCTACGGACTAAGACTGGGAGGCCATTGAAGGTCATGTGCGCGGAAAGGCCGGCAGCCCAATGCTTTTGGCAGTATAGTGTATGTTTGCTAATAATGACATATTGGTGGCATAACGTATTAATGATATCATTTATTTTGTAGATATGTAATATTTTGTTATATTGTAGATATATTTTATGTTTTAGGTTATATTTTGGGTACCATGCTATGATCACCTTTTGCCAGTACTGCATTCATCCCCGTAGACGGTTATGCTCACTTTCCAATAAACAATTAATTTATAGTATTCCTAAAGCAAAACATTTTTTTGTTTGTTTTGGGCAGAGTGGAGATGGACACCTGCCAGGTTTTTTATTGCTGTCTGGGAGATACGCCCATTATTTGTCCTGTTTACCGTTATCGTTGAAAGTAAAAGTGAAAGAAAACCCCAAACTTTGGTTTGTCCCCAGAAAAGTAATAGAGGGTAAATCTTCCCAATGGGGACACCAGTTCTGGTGACCTGGGGGGGCACAAGGAATTCCTTTCACTGCCTGTTTGGCTATAGGACGATGGTAAACAGATAGCAAAAAAAAACCTGGCAGGGGTTATAACCCTCCTTTACTCCATCCAAAATGTACAAACCCCCCAAAAAACGTTTTGCCTAGAGTTCTAATTTAATGTAGCGCCCCTCTAGTTATCCAGGAAGAGCTAGCTAGGTTTTTTAGTTAGGGGCTTGATAGCAGCCTGGTATGAGTCAGCCTGGGATGAGTCAGCAGGGCTCTGATACCTCCCCATGCTCTAGAAGCTTGAGAAGTTTCTATAAAGCAGTGGGTGAGGGTGAGGAGGACTGATCTGTGTGCTCAGGGGACTCTGACCAATCTTCAAGCACAAGGCTTGGCATGGGGTCAGGGAAGCTCTTAAAGTATGAGAGCGCCTGTTTAGGAGGTGGTCAGTGTCGGATGAGAAGGCTGGAGTGTGGAGCTTGGTAGGGGGCCCAGGGAGGGGAATACCCGCAGGCAGGAGCTGGAGGATCTCTCGGCCTCCCTTGAGAGAGAACGGCCTGGGAAGCAGGGTAAGGCCTGAAGGTGGCCACCAACCCTCAAGCTTGCAGGAGAGGACTGAGTGAGTAATCCTGAACCCCCCAGGGCCAGATATGGAGAGAGGGCAGTCAGGTGGTCAATCCAACTAGCTCCTCAATAGGGCTGTTTTACTAAAGTGGCAGCTTCCGGGTCCCTTTGCTCAGGGATTCCCCCAGGCAGCTGGGGTGGGATTGATCTGGGGTCTGAGGTGGTACGCCGTTCACGGCCGCGGATGTCAATCACCGGGTCCCGGACGGTGATTTCCTGGTGATTACCGACAATCACCGACAGGGAGGAGGACTGTTTTGTTTACAAACAGTCTTCCTCCCTTTCAGCTCCGGCACACTGTGCAGCACAGCCATCCTGATCAGTGTGATTACAGTGAAGCACACAGACCCCCGCCCCCTAGTAAAAAATCTCAGCACACAGGTAACTCTTTCATCGCTCCTCACATTAACCCCTTCCTGCCCAGTGTCATTAGTAGTGTCAGTGCTGTTTTTTAGCACTGATCATTGTATTGGTGTCACTGGGGATGTCAGTGACACCAAGTTAGTTCCCCTCCCAGTGTCAGAATGCCCGCCCCAGTCCCGTTAAAAGTCGCTGATCACCACCATTACTAGTAGGGAAAAAAAAAAATCCCAGTATCTATACCGCCATTTGTAAATGCTATAACTTTCACATAAACCAATTAATTTACACATATCAGGATTTTTTTTTTTAGCGAAGACACGGACCGGGAAACATTTTGGACGAAATTTATGAGGAAATTAGATTTTTTTTACATTTTTTTTACTGGACGTGTTTAATAGCAAAAAATACAAAATATAGGGTTTATATTTGAAATGCTACAATTTTTTGAAATATATTGAAAATGGCCAAAATTGTAGCATTTCAAATATTTTTTGCGAGATTGCCACTCATTTCCACAACAAGATTGATGCAATCCGAAAGGACATAGTCAACTCGCAATCTACGTCCCCACCTAGCCTCCCCCCCATCTCCCCCTCATCTCTTCCCTCCTCTGACCTCGCAACCACACTGCCCCCCACCACACCCAAGAAGACCCCGCTTACCGTAACCCCCCCAGCTCTGCACTCCTAACTCCTTCAGCCCCGCTACCACTGAGGAAGTCACCAGGGTCTTGTCAGAAGCCCGCCTCACTACCTGCCCCCTGGACCCTATCCCCTCTCAACTCCTCCGGTCACCCCCCTCTTCCCTCATCTGCTCCCTCACCCACATCTTCAATCTCTCCCTCTCTACCGGCGTATTCCCCTCCCCCCTAAAGCATGCGCACATCACCCCCATACTCAAAAAACCCTCCCTGGACCCCACAGACCCAAACAACCTCAGACCCATCTCCCTGCTGCCACTCACTTCCAAGCTCCTTGAGCGCTTAGTCTACGACCGCCTAAGCGCCCACCTTACTGACAATAACCTCCTCGATCCCCTACACTCCACTGAAACCGCCCTCCTCAAAATCAACAACGATCTACTAACCGCCAAAGCCAAAGGCGACTACTCAGTCCTCCTACTCCTGGACCTCTCTGCGGCCAGTTGACCACCCCCTCCTCCTTAATAAACTACTCTCCCTTGGCATCAGAGACACCGCTCTCTCCTGGTTCTCCTCTTACCTATCCCGACGCTCCTTCAGCATTTCCTACAATGGTACCACCTCCCCTTCCCTCCCCCTCTCTGTTGGGGTCCCCCAGGGCTCTGTCCTTGGACCCCTTCTCTTCTCCATCTACACCTCCTCCCTTGGCAAGCTCATACACTCTCACGGCTTCAACTACCACCTCTACGCTGATGACACTCAAATTTACCTCTCCACCCCCCACCTCACCCCCACATTCTCCGCCCGCATCACTCACCTCCTAAACGACATATCAGACTGGATGTCGCTACATTTCCTCAAGCTTAACCTCTCCAAAACCGAGCTTCTCGTCTCCCCCCCCCCCCATCCTATCCATCACTACTAACATCACCACCATCAATCCCACCCCGCAAGCCAAAGTCCTTGGAGTCATTCTGGACTCTAACCTCTCCTTCCAACCTCATGTCAAATCACTTACAAACACATGCAGACTCCACCTCCGGAACATCGCCAAGATACGCACCTTCCTTACCCCAGACACCACTAAACTACTCGTACACTCCCTGATTATCTCACGCCTGGACTACTGCAACTCCCTCCTCACCGGCCTACCCCAGTGCAGGCTCTCCCCGCTTCAGACCATCCTGAACTCAGCGGCCAGACTCATCCACCTCACCAGCCGCTCCACCTCTGCCACCCCCCTCTGCCTCTCCCTCCACTGGCTCCCGATTGCCCAACGCATCAAATTCAAACTACTCACTCTGACCTACAAAGCCATTCACAACACTGCCCCTGACTACCTAACCAACCTGATTCCCAAGTACCACCCTACCCGTACCCTTCGCTCTTCACAGGACCTCCTTCTATCCTGCTCCCTGGTCTCCTCCTCCCATGCACGACTGCAGGACTTCTCCTGGTCCTCCCCCATCCT